CGATCGATCCGATCAACATGAGGAGCGGCCCGGACCGCGGGATCGGAAGCAACCCTGGGGGTGCGGGGCGAACGAGGAGGCCCGTCGGGCCTTCCATCCGCCGATCCCAGAGAGGGAAAGATGCGATCGATCATCCCTGTGGAGGAAGGCGTCTCCCTGCGATCACTGGAGTCGGGATCCCCCGGCTCTCGTTCCACTCCCTCTGGCGGAAGGCCCGGCCCGTTGCCTGCTCCAGGGAAGCAACGGAAGGTCGCACTATCAGTGTGTAAACTGTCGACGCTCTCCCGTCCCGCCTCTGCGGGGGCTGGGTCACAGGTCATGTCCTCCGTCTGCCAGCGGTCCCTGGGCCGAACGCCGTGCGCCTCCCTCTGCATGCCGTCGTCCGATCCAAGGTAGCGACGGAAGGTCGCACGTTCTGTGTGTCTCGCGGGGGAGAGAGCCTCGCCCCCTCCACCAGTGTCGCGCCTAGCGCTCTCACCTCCAGTGGGTCGACTGAAGGCCGCAGCGTTAGGGCGTGCACAGCCACCGCACTCCCGCCCAACCCCCGTGGGGTAGGGTCTATAGTCCTTACTCCCACATCCGACTGATCCCTGGGTCGAGCGCCTTGGGCCTCATCCAGCCTTCCGCCATCCGATCCAGGGTGGCGACGGAAGGTCGCAAGATCTGCGTGTATCTCAGGGATGTCTGCATCACCCCCTTCTCCAGCATTATGCATGCCGCTCTCGGGTCCATGGGGGCGGTCGAACGCTGCATCGGCGTCGGGATGCGCTTCGCAAGTGGAAGGCCTGGCTCCACCGCTTAGCTCACCAGCGGGGACGGCCTCACTCAGCGCGGGCACGTCCAGGGGGGGGGGGTCGGCGGTGGGTCGGCGTGAGCCTCCGTGAAGCGGGCCAGGGCTGCGGGCAGAGACCTGCCCATTTATGTTGCCAATGCCCTCGTGAGCGCCCCCTGAGGGTCTCAGCTCCCTGAGCTCCCCGCCCGAGTCGCCCTGGCCCCTGGGGCGACCGCCGAGGACGTTCATCTGCGCCTCGTCAGTTGGCCTAAGCGGGACTGAATCCGCGAGGGGGTTTGCTTGTTCAGAAGCGAGGCCCTCTCCCCCGTAGCCCTGGTGTCGCCTAGGGCCGAACCACTCTGTCCAATAGCGCCTGGAGAGAAGGAATTTGGGCGTCCCGCAGCGGGCATGGGAGCGGTGGGGGTGAGAGAGGCGGCTGGGTTAGACAGGAGGGCTTCGTGCCCACGGTCATCGCGTCCAGGGGAGCGACGGAAGGTCGCAGCGTCGGAGTGCATTCTGCCAACGTTCTCACGACCACCCCCATGGGGGTTAGCTCCCTGATGCATTCTTCCCATTCACACCGTTCCCTGGGCTGAACACCGCGGGCGTTCCTCTGCCCGTCGCAGTCCGTTCCAGGGATGCGACGGAAGGTCGCAAGATCTGTGTGAATTGTGGGGATGGACGCGTTACCCCCCCCCTCCAATGCTGCGCCTGCCGCTCTCAGGTCCCTGAGGGTGGCCTTGTGCGGTATCAGCGTCGATGTGCGCGCCATAGCCTGAGGGCCCGTCTTCTATGCTCAAAACGCTGCGGAGAGCAGCTTCGCTCGGCGCGGCCGCTTCCAGAGAGGGGGGCGCGGCGGAGTGAGGGCAAAAGCATCTAAGATGCGCGACGGGGCCAAGGCGTCGCGACTGCCCGTCTCCCCCCACTTCGCCTTCGTGGGCGCCTGCTGGGGGTGTCGGGCCCATGCTCTCCCCATCCACGCCGCCGAGGTCCCTGCGGCGGGAGCCGAGGGCACCTCTCTGCTCGTCGCCGAACTGCCTGAGAGGAACAAAATCCGTGGGGGGATAAACTGCTTCAGGAGTGGGGCCGTTGGCCCCCGTGAACCTAGCATCGCCATGGGCGGTCCCGTTATGCCCAGCGCTGCCTGGAGAAAATGAGATTAAGCGCCCAGCAGTGGGCATAGGAGAAGTGGGGGTAAGAGAAGGGTAGCTAGGCGGGAGGGCCTCACGCCTGCCATTATTAACTCCAGGGTGGCGACGGAAGGTCGCGCTGTCAGTTTGAAACAGAGGGCTGAACGTATCAACCCCGTCTACCACTGCGCGTCCGCCGATCTCAACTCCAGGGTAGCGACGGAAGGTCGCAACTTCGGTGTGCATCACAGGGTTGAAGGAATCAACCCCTCCTTCCGATTGGTTTGGGGCCATCGGTCCTCGTGTACACGAAGCATCGGCTGAAGTGCTCCCATTCCAGGGAGCAGGGGGCGACGGTTGTCCCGGCGGGATGGTGTCCTGAGATCCAGGGCGAGTATGTCCTGACTCATTCGGTCCACTGGTCCCAAGGCCGACATCAGGTGATGCGGCCCTCGCCCCCGCAGGGATGATAGGATTATCGTCGATCGATCGCTCGGTCATCCATGGGGCGGCGGCCCTGATCCGATCTGAGCCGAGGGCCGCTGAGCCCGTCTGCGCGGCGGCAAGGCTGCAGCAATGGCCGGCGCGCCCAGGGGCCGGAGGGGATCCAGGGCCGCGGGCCCACGACGCTGCGTCCGGGCGCCCCCTTGAGCGGCGGGAGACTGCCCCGGAGAGGGCAGGCCCACCAGACGGCTTGAGCCAGAGGCTACGGATCTGGTGGGGATACGCGAAGCGTCAAGAATTAACTCCCCCCCCCCTTCCTGAATTAGCCCAGCCTCCCCATATCCTGCAAGTGACGCTCTCCCCCAGCCCGCCCCCTTCCGGAGTTGAAGCAAAATCCCGGCTGAGTTAACTCCTTCCCCTTCCTGAGTTGACTCCGCCACCCTTCTCTGGATTCCTGCGGACATCCTGCTAGGGGGAGGAGGCAACGCGGGCGGAGGAGGAGGAGAGCGAGGAGGGAGCACGGGAAGATGTGCATGAACGAATCTGATCGAGGAGGGGGACGGGGGCAATGGAGGAGCCGGGTGAGGACGAGGAGGACGAGGATGATGGCGATGAGGATGATGTAGGCCACGGCGTTGATGATGGGCGATGGTGGTGATGACGGTGATGGTGACGACGATGACGAGGCTGATGATGATGATGATGATGATGATGATGGTAGTGACAGTGATGGTAAAGACGAGCGCGAAGATGGCGATGAACATATAGCGTATGGTTGTGATGATAGGTGTTTGTGATGGTGACGATGAGCAAATATCGTATGGTTGTGATGATGGTTGATGGTGATGGTGGTGGTGACGACGATAACGAAGGTGATGAGGATGGTGGTAGTGATGATGGTGGTGACGTCTCTGCTGGTGGCGACGATGGTGTTGGCGGTGGTGATGAAGATGGTAGTGGTGATGATGATGGTGACACGCGCATGAAAGTGGCAACGATGATGATGATGATGATGATGATGATGATGATGATGATGATGATGATGATGATGATGGCATGGAATGAGGAGCCGGGTGCGGACGAGGAGGACAAGGATGAGAGCGATGAGCATATTGCGTATGGCTGTGATGATGGGTGATGGTGATGGTGATGGTGACGACGATAACGAAGGTGATGAGGAAAATGGTAGTGATGATGGTGGTGACGTGTATGCTGGTGGCGACGATGGTGTTGGTGGTGATGAAGGTGGTAGGGGTGATGATGGTGGTGGCACGTGCATGAAGGTGGCAACAATGATGATGATGATGATGATGATGATGATGATGATGATGATGATGATGATGATGATGATGATGATTATGATGGAATGGAATGGAGAAGCCGGATGAGGACGAGGAGGACAAGGATGAGTGCGATGAGCATATTGCGTATGGCTGTGATGATGGGTGATGGTGATGGTGATGGTGACGACGATGACGAGGGTGATGTTGAATATGGTAGTGACGATGAAGGTGGTGACGTGTATGCTGGTGGCGACGATGGTGATGGTGATGATGGTGAAGATAGTAGTGATGATGGTGGTGGCGATGGCGTTGATGATTCGTGGCAATCAGCACGCGATGGAGCAGAAACGGGAGACGGAGGAGGAGGAGGAGGAGGACGGGGAGGAGGACGAGGAAGGAATTGGAGGAACATCTTTACCCCACGCGCGCACCCGTTGGAACAGCTGAAATCGAGCGAGGCTGGGCGGGGGAGGGGCGGGAAAACCAGTAGATCCGTAAACCTCTAAACTTGGGGCCGAAATGTCCACCCGGAACTAACTTTTCGCAAGGCTGGGGGGTGGGGGGGGGGCGGCAAAGAAACCCGTAAATCCGTAAACCCGTAAACCTGGTGCCGAAATGTGCAACCCGAGCGCGCTTTTCGCGTAAACGGGAAAACCCGAAAAGCGCGCGTAAATTGTGCGAGTCCGCGCCCGCTTACAGCAACTCCTCCTCGCCAGCTTAGCGCGTAGCGTCCCCCAGAAGATTTCGGGACATCCCTCACAAGAACTGTGCCCAAGAAGGAGCTGCACCTATGACACCGATGGGCAAGGTTCGCATCCCGTCCCCCCGCGCACTTCGGCGCACCCCTCACACGGATCGTGCCCCACAAGGAGCTTCACATACGGCCTCAGTGGGCGCGTTCGCGCGGAAACATCAAATTTATTCGGTATCCCCTTCACGCCGATCGTGCCCAACAAAGAATTCAGCGCGCCCGTGCACGCTTGTTCCGCAGCAGCCCCCTATCCGCACAAGCCAGCAGCGCGCAGTATATGTCAGTCCGGCAGCGCTTACTATTGCGTTCTGGCTCAATTTGGTCCAGAAAAGGGACTCACTATGGCGTTCTGGTTCGATTTGGTTCAGAAATCAGAAATGCGACTCTCTATTCTGCTTTGGCTCGATTTCAGCTGAAATGCCTCTTTCCTGGGGCTCGAGAGAAAACACGTGGGTCCCTAACGCCCCAGAGCGGGACAGGCGTGAAAACACGTGGTTACCTAACGGCCCAGAGCGGGACAAACGTGAAAACACGTGGGCTCCTAGGTTCCAGCGCGGGACAAGCCTGAAAACACGTGGGTTCCTAAGGCCCCAGAGCGGGACAAACGTGAAAACACGTAGGCTCCTAACGTTCCAGCGCGGGACAAGCGTGAAAGCACGTGGGTTCCTAAGGCCCCAGAACGGGACAAGCATGAAAACGCTTGGGTTCCTAACGCTCCATGCAGAGCGGGACCAGCGTGAAAACACATGGGTTCCTAACGCCCCACAGCCGGACAAGCGTGAAAACGCTTGGGTTCCTCACGCTCCAGAGCGGGACAAGCGTGAAAACACGTGGGTTCCTAACGCCCCAGAGCGGGTCAAGCGTGAAAACACGTGGGTTTCTGGTGTCGGGCCCAGGCCCTGGGCCTTGTGCCTGGCTCGCTCTCCCTGTCCCTGGCAGGGTCTCTTGGCGTCCTTCTACGGGTACGACTTGTTCGTCGCCTTCTACGTCGCCTGACCTTGCCCCCTCTCCCCCTCCTCCTCCTTCACACCTGATATAGGGACGGTTAGTCCCTCCTGATTCCGCAGGCTCTGCCTGCCCCGGTGGCTGGTGGGGCCACCCTGGATCCGGCGCGGGGCGACCGCGGCGCTGGCAGGCCAGCATGCTGGCCTCTCTCCCTCCTGCCCGCTCTCTCCCCCCTTGCCCGCTACCCCCCCTCCGGCCGCCATAGCGGCCCGCCTCGGACAGCGCGGCCTCGGCCCGGTCCCAGGCGACAGCACAGCAGGTCCTGGAACACCCACTCCTGCTCAGCGCCGACTTGCGTCGGCCCCGGCGGCTTGGTCAAGGACTCCTGACTTGCCGCGCCCACGTCTCAGCGGCTCCTCCTTCCTGGACCGGTGGCACCATGAACCACTACGGCCCTACCCCTGCACGGCTACGCGCACGCTGGCACAACGCTGCACTTCGTCCTGGCCCTGCACTTCCTCCTTCCCTGATTCCCGACGCTGCTAGGTTGAAAAGCGCGCCGACTCCCGCCGACGACAGGGATGGTGTAACAATCGGCATGCCGTTGACGGCAACGCCACTGCACAGCATTTTGCTCAACCGGGACTTCGCCACCGGCTACTTGGCGCACCTTCGCAAGGACTTCGGCTTCTGCACCGCCCTGCCCTGAAAGCTTCCACTTCCCGGCCTCGCTCTGAGGCTCCGCCCCTTCCCCCTTTTCTCCACTCGGCCTAATTAGCTCGCAACGCGCGGCCCGCTTTGCTCTAACCGGAAGAGGTGCGCTCTCGACCCGCAGATCAAACAAGTTTTGGGATGGGCTGGTGGGGATACTTTTTTGATTTGCAGCCCGCAAGGAAAAGTCCAGAGGGCGGTCAGAGCTGGTGGGGATACGCGAAGCGTGAAGAATTATCTTAAATATCAGCGCAGCACTGTCCGTCCTCGTTCGGAAACGAACGGATCAAAAGGGGGCAGAGGCTGGCTGGCCACCTGTGCATGGGTAGGCACCGCACTAGGCAATACCTGCCAATCGTGCTACCCTGCCTGGCAGCAGGTATCATTCGCCCAAACTAGTGATCACATGCTCGAAGCGCCGATATGGCTCTGGCCGTCAGAGGTACGTAGAGAAACAGTGCTGTATAATCGTAGCTCATTGGCAAGCGTCGAACGAATACTCATCCGCGTGTGTCAGTTAGACGCAATACCTTACACACGTGCTTGCTCCATGCGCAACTACTGCCGTCCAGTCGCGTGGGTCATGCGATCGATCGATACGGTCGTGCGGATCATAGGGATGGAGGAGTGGCCTTTTCGGTACTCTCTTTGGCATCACTCCCGCTAGCATCTGCGTCGCCGTCCTTTGCGTCAGCTCTGCCGCCAAGCTCTTTGCCCAAGCTCTTTGCCCAAGCTCCACTTGCATAGCCATGGTGCTGCATGAGCACCGCATGCTCACACTCGTCGACGAGCCTGTCCCTCGAGGCAGGCATGCGCTGCTGGATGAGCGAGAGCCCATCCCACCACACCAGGATTCGCGTCAGCGCAACAACGGTGCTGTTCACTGCTGGCAGATTGGTCTCGAGCTGAAAATTCGCCGGCCCAACGGGCCAGAGGCGTGCTAAGATCTCCGATAACAAGTTAACAGTATTTCTAGTTCGCGCGCGCGGGGCAGCCCCTGGGGGTCCCTGGGCGAAAAGTACCCCGGCAAGGTCCCGGCAAGGTCCCAGCAGACTCCCGGCAAACTCCCGGCAAGGTCCTGGCAGACCCCTCCCCAAGGATGCCGGAACTCTTTTTCGGAGCCCAAGGGTGCCCCAGATCGGTCCAAGAAGGCCCCAAGAGGCCTTCCAGACGGTCCAAGAGGGCCCCGAGACGCCGAAAGATCACTACAAGACGCCCAAGATGGCGTCCAGACGGCCCAAGAGGCCGTCAAGACGACCCAAGAAGCGCCCAAGAGGCGTCCCAAGAGGCAAAAAATTTGCCCATTCCCTAAGGAAAACGTGTATTTTTAGCATATTCGCGATTGGGCTTTCACAACGACCAAGGCGGCCCAAGAGGCCTCCAAGATCGCCCCAAGACGGCCCAAGATGCCCCCCAAACGCTCAAAGACGGCCCCAAAGGCCTCCAAGAGGGCCCTAAAATGGCCTCCAGAGGGCCGTAAGACGGCACAAGAGGCCTCCAAGACGGCCCAAGAGGCCCCCAAGAGGCCCCCAAGACGGCTCCAAGAGGGGGCCCAGACGGGGGACCCGAACGGATGTTTCGAGCCCTCGGCCCCGAGAGGCCCCCAGGAGGCCCCCAAGAGGCCCCAAGAGGCCCCCGTGAGGCCCAAAAATAACGCCGAGAGGCCCCCGAGGGGCCTCCCAAGAGACCCCAAGAAGCCTCCAAAAGAGGCGTCTTGTCCACGACCAAGTTTGGCCCCAAAATGCCGCAAGAAACCATCGAGAGGCCTCCTCCTCCTCCTCCTCCTCTCTTTCTCCTCTCTTTCTCCTCCTCCTCCTCCTCCTCCTCCTCCTCCTCCACCTCGCCGCGAGCACGCCAGCATATAGCACCAGTGATGCAATATGGGCCGGCGGCATGAGCGAAGCGATTAAATAAGTCACGAAGAATTCGCACGTGCCGATGAGACTCAGCACGATGGGGACAATGAGAGGCAGGGAGATCGACTGCAGCGTGACGCAAACCACGGCGCCTGCGATCCCGAAGAACTGCAGACTCCTCAAGCTCCGAGAAAGCTTGGGCGCCTTCTTCTGCGACTCTGCGAGTTGGGGGAGTAAGCGAAAAGCGATGTAGTCGTCCTGGGAGATCTTGTTCAGATCCTTCATAGAATCGTTAGCCTCAGAGTCGGAGGGAGCCTTGCTGTCACTCCAGCCGCGCAAGGGGTCACTGACGAGTGTGGCCACGCCGGACCGCACGTCGGTCGTACCCGCCTCTTGGATTATCCTCATGCACATCTCGCTGAACTTTTGCCGGTGTCCGTCGCCCCTGGCGTTCGACTTGGCGGCGCGGTAATGCCCGGCGCGGGCCCGGAAGCGGAACGTCTCTGAGTCCAGCCGCTTCGCCGCCCAGAACAGGGCGGCGAACTTGTGCATGGGGCGGTACGTCGTGTACAACGTCGTGACCGCGCCGAGCAGGAGCGGCATCACGATGCCCAGGACGTAGACGCTCTCTCTTGCGTTCTTGGTGTCGAGAGGCTCGTCCTCGGCCTCGGACGCGGCGAGCTCGGGGACGATCGCGCTGAGGATGGCGAGGCACGCGGTGAGGATGAAGAGCACCCGCAGGATGATGACAAGGACGGTCGACTCGCGAAAGTAGCGACTCGAGGCTGACAAGAGCCGATGCTGCAGAATCTTTGCGTGCTTGACGAGGCGGAAGTCCGCATCTTCGCCACCCAGCTCCAGTGCAGCGTCGTACACTGTGCTCATGACAGAGGTAATAGTGTCCTGAAGCCTCTCCACGTTGAGAACGCCGTTCTCTGGCACGCTGAGCATGTCCGCCCGGCAGCCAACATCGATGATCAGGGCGGCTTCTGGGTTGAAGCGATCTGGGAAGCCCTGAACGAGTGCGCGGGCCTCTCTGTATCCGAGCCCCCGCACCATGTTGTTTGGAAGGGTCTCTGGAAAACGATCTTCGATAAACTGCTCTATCTCTTCCTTCGATGCGAACTTGGGGAAGCGTTTCTCGGCGGTGCCGTACTCGCGCAACTCTTGACGGAGCCTCGTGCCATACTCGACAAGATCAGCGAGGACGTCGGCCGTGCCCCCCGTCCCCCGGAAGCAGAACAGCGGTTTCGCATTTGTGATGCACGACGTTCCAGCTAAATTCAACGGGCCGGTGCCACCCACCGCGAGGATCGCGATTGGCATCGATTCTAGTAGTTGCCGGTGGTACTGTGCTTTCATATCTCCGCTCTCGAACACTACGACATGACGAACCATGTGCAGCGGGCCTGGGTCTACGCTGCTCTCGCCGAACACCCTGAAAGCCGCATTTTCCGCGGGCGTAGTTCCTGTTGTGATTCGGATGCTAGACTCCACCTCCTTCAAGTCCCCCTTGGTCGCGCTGCTGCACAGAGATCCAGTGCTGATGCGCCGCGTGTCAAACCTCCGCGGATCCCTACTCCATTTCACTCGTCTTTCGCCATCGTCTTTGTACTTCTGAAACCACTGTTCATCACGATCGTCGTTGGGCTTGCCAGGGTCAACGTAATTCAGCAAGTCTTGCTGCAGAAAATTGAGCGTGGGGCAGTTATCGTGATGGGCCGCCGATTCGACAGCGATCTCCGCAAGCCGATTGAAGGAGAACATGTCGTCCATGACGTAAACGCTGTCTGTCTGTGAGCACGCATCCGAGATACCGTTGATCACTGCGCGAACGCGATTCTCCACTACAAGAGCATTGCCACGCGCTTCACCCGCCTTGGGTGAACGGCCGTCCTCATCCAGCCGATGAGTGTCGATGTTGTAGCCCTTGAAGAAAGCAAATCCTATTTCCGGCGGGGTCAGACCAGTCGCCCTCAAGATCTGATTGATGGGCGTCCCGTTCTCCGGGAGCGGCTCCCATTCCTTCGGGACGAACACGAACGGCTTGATCACCACGTTGGCGTCCTCCTCCCCCACGACTGCCGACGTGTGGCAATCCCACCAGCCCTCTGGGCGTAGGTGGTTTAAGGGACTTCCTCTTCCAACCCCCTTCTTCCCCTTCGGGGAGGGGTTTACCCCTCCCCCTACCCCCTACCCTGGACCTGGACAAGGGGTTTCGCGACGGGTT